GCGCCCGAGCCCCGGCCCCCCGCCAGCGCTCGCAGGGCCCCGCTGCGAGGTCTCGGCCCCCGGCCCAGGTCACTGCCCAAGGCGCACGCGGCGGCGGCGCCCCGGGCTCACCATGGTGGCAGCGCGCGCCGAGTGCCCGCGTGTCGCCGGCCACCCGGGCCGCAGCGCCGGCTGAGAACGGTCCGCCGAGGCCCCCAGCCCCTGCCCTTTCCCCGCCCGGCCCGCGCGTCCCTTCCGGCCGCCGCTGTCTATGGCGCAGCCCCCCTCCCTGGATCATGCACAGAAACTTTCGCAAGTGGATTTTCACCGTGTTTCTCTGCTTTGGCGTCCTCTACGTGAAGCTCGGGTGAGTATCCCCACGGGCGGGGGCCGCCGCCGGAGCCGAGACAGCCGGGAGGAGCTGGCTCCACGGGGCTCCTGCGGGGACCTGGGGACCAAAGCGGGGCACGGGCGGCTCTCAGAGACCCGGGCTTGGCCTGTGTGCAGCACCCTGCTCCGGCAGAGACGCCCCCGAGCCCCCTGAGCGGCAGGCGCCCCCCGAGGGGCGCCGAGTCCAAGGCCCTGGGAAGGCAGGCAGGGCGCGCGGGCGGCCGCGGCCGGGCTCCAGGGTAGCGGTGAGCGTGCCCGGCCCGTACTTTCACCTGTTTGGGCTCCAGGCCCCGGGGGTGGGACGTGCCTTCCCTCCCCCGGGCTGCGCTGGGCGCCGAGCCCAGGCCGAGCGCTCGCTGCCTGGAGGGCGCGCCGGGGCCGGGGCCAGGGGCCGGGGGGCGTCGGCCGGCGAGGAGGCCCGGGCGGGCGGGGACCGCGCACCCCGGCCGCGAGCGCGCAGGCCGGGGCACCCGCCTCGGCCCTTCGACTCTATCCATCACCCGGACGTGTTGAAATTACCTTGACAACTCGTCCGGCTGGCTTGGGATGGGCCGCACGGCGGGCCCGGCCGCCTCAGGCTCTGTCCGGGCCCCACGCCCCCTCCCGCCCGGGGCCCTCGGCTCGGCCCCCACCCGCCGCGCTCCCCCTCTCGCGGCCCTTCGGGCGGGCGCCCGGCGGGCCGCGCTAGCTGCTCGCTGCAGTAGCTGCTCCGAGTCGTATTTCCACATTCCTGAACCCAGCCGAGTCCTTACCTGTTGAGCTGCGATCTCCTTTAGACAGAGTCTGTCTCGGCCTCGCTCGAAGTGGGGCGGGGGCGCGCGCTGTGACCGTGAGGAGGTGCGGTGCCCCTCACTGCTGGCGCCCACGGCCCCCGCCCCGCCGCTCCCTGCGCGCCTACTGTGCACCGCCAGCGCCGAGAGGCAGGCTGCGTCCCACAGCCAGCAAAGCCGGTGGACAGCCCGCGGCAGGGCCGGCCCCTGCCGCCGGCGGAGACGCGGCTTCCCGGGCGGAGACGCAGAAGCCCAATTTGAGAACGCCTCGTCCGTCGCCCCTCCAGCCATCGTCCCCTCCGCCATTTCACAGATGGAGAAACTGAGGCCGGTGGCTGCAGAGGCTCGCTGTCCTAGCCTCAGCTCTGCAGGCCTGGGCGGCGTGTCTGTGACTGCTGGTGGCTGTTTATTGTGGGTCTGTGTGCAGGCTGTGCCCGGGTGTTTGTTTATAGGAGGTGAGAGTGCAGCGCACGGAGGCTGCGGGGCTGGGGAGGGGGGTTGGGAACGGGCAGGAAGGCACTGTTTTCCAGACTCTCAGGCAGACCCTACGGTGATGCCCTCTGGACCCCCGCAGTAGCGGGCAGCCCCCAGCGAGGCTCTCTGTTGTCTGGTTCTCTGCACTGAGGCCCTTTCCCCTCCTGGCAATCCTGGAGTTAAGTGCTTTCTCTCTTCCCGTTTTAAGGATTAGGGGACCAAGCAAGGGTCCTACCTGAGCAAGGAAGTCAAGTCACTTGTCCACATGAATAAGTGCAGTGGCAGAGCTGGGACTGGACATGTCTCTGGCCTCTACCGCTGACCACTCTTCCTGGCTCCAGTTCCTCAACAGGAGTCACTCTAAAGCAGTCCCTACTCCCTAGCTTGTGGGAAGAGCTCCATGTACCCCACCTCCCCACTCCAGGCAACAGAAGGAGCTGAAGGTGTGTCCAGCCTGGGTTCCCAGGGCTGGTGGCTGGGCTCTGAGGTCTTACGACCACAGGCAGGTCCCCCTCTCTGGTCTCCGGAGCCTCGGGTTCCCTCTCTAAATGGGCTGCAGCTCTAGCCATTCTGAACAGGACGGTGGCCAGTGTCTAAGTGGAGACAGCGCACAGAGATGCATCCTGGGCTCCCAGGCACCTGTGTCAGCATCTCTGAGAATAAGTAAGGGAGCCAGGTAGGGGCCTTGGCTCTGCCCTCTGCCTCCACCCAGGAGCACTGGAGTGGGGAACGCCATCCCCCTGGTATGTCCCCTAAAACACACTGTCTCCCACTCCTGGGGGAGAGAAGAACACCTGGTGTCCAAACCCCTGTGGAAGCAGAGCCAGGAAGACCAGGGAGCCAGCCTGGGGAGGAGACTCAGCGCCTGCCGCCCCCGCAGCCCCTGCTTGTAATATTGGAGTGGAGGCACCTGCTCTCTTTGCCAGCCATCTTGGCTGCACAGGGCAGGAAGGAGAGGGCAGATGGGCCCAGATGTGACCTAAGGGATTAATTGACCTGGGGACCCAGTGAATTACAGACAGAGGTTTGGGGGTGGTCCTCCCCGTCACTCTTCACTGGGTGGCCTTGGTGAGCTCTTTAACCTCCCAGCCTGCCCTCCCTCACCTGAAAACTGGGGTAACCCCAGCATTTCCTTCATGGGGGCTAAGAAGGTTAGTTCTCAGGCCTTTGCCCAGTGGATGGGGGGTGGGGGCAAATAACCACCTCTGTGCACCAGCCAAGCCTTTCTTATTGTTAACCGATATCCCAGCTACTGCTGGCACCCAGAGGACTCCTCCAGAGTGTAGTTCAGGGCCTTGGAATCTCAGAGGTGGGGATTTGGGGCCATAAAAGTTCCAACCAAATGTCAGATTGTGCATGTTGGGGGATGTTCTGAGATCACAGCCCCCCAGCCCAAACCTGTGTGCACATGTTTATGAGCATACACAGGGAGCCTCCTGCAGCCCCGCCTGTGCACATGCAGCCACCACTTGTCTGTGCCCCTCTGCCAGGCTGCAAGTGCAGCTATAGCCCCAGGGGAGCTCTTAGAGCCACAGGAATGGAGAACTCCTCCTCACAATCCCTCTGGAGACTGGAGCCCCAAGAGCAGATGTGACTTGGATTTTGAGCAATTTCAAAACAAATAGCTTTGGGGAGTCCCAGTTCCTCACTTTTGGACTATGCAGCCTGCAAGCTGCAGCCCTGGAGGAGGCCAAGCTAGGGCAGGGAGGAGCCCTCTGAAGTCTGGGCACCCTTTATCCACTGGAACTGGAGTCATGAAGTCCCAGGACCAGCCCTGCTCCATTCCTGCCTTTCACCCCGGGGGCTGGGAGAGGCAGAGGGGGCTCAGCAGTGCTTGGGAGCCCAGGAGCCAGGGGATGAGGGTGGGGGACGGGGCCCTTTCTTCTGGATGCTGGGGGTGGATCTCCGCACCAGGTCTAGAAGCCAGGATCCACACCCTCCTACCCCATATTGCACAGACCTCTTTTCCTGTCATCTTTTCTGCTTTGTGCCTTGGCTCCGGCTTACAGGGTCTACACTGCATCTAGAGGGACATCCATTTGTAGCCAGACTTGGCAGACAGTAGGAGCTGGGATTTAATACCTGTGTTTCTGGGCTTTAAAAAAATCCCTGAAAGGAGGATTGTTCAGAAAAGTATGTTCTTGTGAATCTGCAACTCCCCACACCTGTGCCAGCCGACCCCTCAGAGGTGAGCAAAGGAAGGCAGGCGAGGAAACTAGAGCGATGGGGCTCGGTACCCGTTCGGGCGACCTCCCTACTGTCAGCCTCTCCAGAAGTGCCAATGCGGGACTCTATAATAGAGACACCACTGCGCATGTGCACAGGTGAGCCTTGCCCGGCAGGGCCTGGTTGGCTAGGTGGTGAGAGTTTGCGACCCAGCCAACCTCACCAAACCCAGAGGCACACGCAGGCCGAGGAGCAGCACACACAAGACATCCTCACAGACGCGCGCACACTCCCGCAGGCACCCAGGCGCATGCACCGACACAGGAACACACCCCGCGCAGTTACCCCGCGGTGCCTCCCCTCCAGGCGCGCCCTCCAGAGCAGGCCAGAGCTGTGTGGCTCGCTGGAGTTGGTGGGTGAGGGTGGGTACAGGCTACTGCAGTCTGGGCAAGCCCTGGGGGCGGCTCCCGCAGCACGCTCTGGTCAGCCTCCCCTTTAAAAAACCCGCCCGCCGAGGAGGCGGATGTAGGGGAGGCCCGTCCAATGGCAGCTGCGCGCCTCGAGATAGTTGGAGACGTGAGCCAGAGCTAGCGACAGAGCCGGTTCCGACCGATCGACGGACGGAGGGCTGAACGGCGGCGGAGACGCACCAGCTGCCGCCTGCTTGCTTCTCTGCGCCTCACTCTCATCCCAGCGCCCGCTGCAGCCGCAGCCTCAGCGCCAGCGCGATGCTCGGCCCAGGCGGTGGGGCAGGGACAAGCACGGCGCCGCGGCCAGCGCGCCCGGGCCCCTAGCGCCCGGTGCCGCCGCCCCGCTTCGGGGAGGACCCCGGCCCCAGCTGGCCCAGGCGCCCTGCCCGCGGGGCCTGCCCAGCCCCGTTGGGAGCGCCGGCCCACCATGCTCCTGCTGTCGCCGCGCAGCGCGCTTCTCTCCATCTATTGCCCGCAGATCTTTCTCATCCTGTCCAGCGGCAGCTACCTGTGAGTGCCGCGGGCCGCACGCGGGGCGGGCGGGCAGGGGCCCCTTCCGCGGCCTCCGGTGCAGGAGTGGGACGGGGAGGGAAGGCGGCAGTGAGGTCCCTGGGCGGAGTGCCGCGTGTCCGGCGCGCACGGGAGCCAGGGTGCTTTGGGTCGCTTCGCTGGCTTAAGCCGCCTCCAACGGGGAGGATTTGGGGGAGCGGCTGCGGCAATGAGAAGCTCCGGTTTGGGGGTCAGAAAAAGGATGGTACGCAAGAGGCCCGCCTGCAGGGGCGAACCAGAGTGGGCGCACCGAGCGCAAGGCCCGAGCGCGTGTGGGCAGCACGGAGATTCCCTGCGCGTCCCAGCCCAGCGGGAACCCCCGCCCTATGTAACCCACGAGGCCCACACGGCCTTGCCACACTCCGGAGAGGGGCGCGCACACACCCGCTCCCCGCGCACACGCTGGCGCACACGTGCACGCTGAGCCTCACCGGACAGCACCTACGTTGTCCTCAGACGTTGCTGCGGCTTCTGGCGCCTTCCCGCTGCAGCGAGCGGCCTGACCCCAGCCCGGGCCTTCTCCTCACCTGGGCGCGAGGGGATCGCGCGGTGCGCGCCGCAGGCGGCCGAGGTGCGTCCAGGTGTCCTGGCCAAGGCGGCGCACGGAGCTTGGGCGCGCGTGTGAGTCAGGCTGGGCAGCGCCCGTCGGGGTCCGGAAAGCTCCCGGCAGGGCCCGGCTGGGCCCAGAGAGCCGAGGGGGCACGTCGGCGCAGCGGTGGCTTCGCCCGACTGCTAATGGGACGCATATGCTCTGGCCTCCGATTTAAAAAGAAGTTTGATTTATGGAACCGCTGTTTGGGGGAATTTAAGCTGGATGCTACTGATTAAACCTCAGAGCCAGCTCCCCCTCTCTCCTCCCCTCCCCCTCCCCCTCCTTTACACGCGGGCCACGTCCGGGGTCGCCTAACGCGGCCAGAGGGGGCAGCCGCTGCCTTCCCGCTCCCGGCACCACCCCCTCTCCCTCGTGGCCGCAGCCCTAATAAATTGCTGCGCCCCCACCCCCTTTTAATAGAGACGCAGCCAATTTCTCCTCCAGCTCCTAGGAAATTACTATCCTACCAGTTTTCCTTCTATAAATAGTCGCGCATCTTGAAACAAAAGTTCGCAACCGCAGCCAGATGCTGCGAGGCCCGCGGTTTCCCGGGCTGTGCGACATAATTACAAGGTCCGGCACAGAGAGTGTTCCAGGCCCGGCAGGCAGCCCTGGCTGCGGAGGCATCGCCGGTGGGGAGGTGGGGGGAGGCAGGCCGCCCAGAGCAGGCGCCTGATCACTGGGGACTGAGGCAGGGCAAGTGCCAGGCCGGAGAGCCCTGCTTCTATCGTCTTTCCCGGGACAGGGTCTGCCCCCAGGGCCTTGGCCTCCAGTTCCCAACGACCGAGGTGGGGAAGCCTCCCCTTCCCCGGAGTTCCGGGCATCTCAATCTGAAGCCTTGATAGAGACTCGGTAGATTCTCGGCTTAATAAATAAGTTTTGGAGCCAGCTGGCTGAAGTTTGGCATTAATGGGGCGATGGGGTGGGCAGGAGTCCCCCAGGGATTGTCTGGAGTAAGAATCTGAGAGGAGGAAGTGGGCAGGGGGCCCAGGGACTCGGGAGAGCCCGGAGCCAAGGCAGCAACTGAGGGGCTCTGGGGCAGTGGGTGGCCGTTCGTCTTCATAGACCCCAAGGTTTCCGTCGTAGTTGGCCCCCCGAACCCCTGCCTGCAGTGACTGCCCTCTGCGTCCACACAGGCTCACTCCCTGTGTGTGCACTGCCAGCTCAGTGAGGAGAGATTCCCCTCAGGCAAGCGTTCCCAGGAGTTCCTGGGCCAGGGCTGGGCTTGGCAGTGGGTGGGGAGGGGGCAGTAAGGCCAACTCTGACCATTGCCCTGCCTTCAGCAACCACTGCCCCAGTGCCAGCCCAGCGTGACCTTCAGCTCTAGAAGGGAGAATGTGCCTATGGCAGGCTTTCTTGGGCACACTAACTCGGCCATTCTCAGAGCTAGAGAGGGAGGCCCGGGGCATCTCTGGAGCACCCCCTGCCCTGTTTGGGAGGCACAGGGCCCTGGTGATGCAAATAAACGCGTGTGGGGAGAAGAACCTCTCTGGGTCTGTGAGCCAGCACCTGAAGGCAGGTGAGCCGGCCAGTGCAAAAGCACCTTGAGAACTGTTGGGGGTTGGTAGTAAGTCCACCTCAGTACTGCGCAATGCGTGAGAGGGTTGGCCCTGTGGGATCTGAGGATGACAGGGGCAGGAGGGGCCCTGGGTGGAGGCTTCTTTCTGCTTCAGAGAACTTTCCAGAAGAAATCCCATTGCTGGGATCGCAGACACTGGCGGGCAGTTGATCCTGCCCCTTTCATCTGGGCTACTCTCCCAGCTCCCTGTCTTGGGCTGTGGTCCGTGCATAGTGAATCCCAGATGCATGCCTGGGCCCCTGCCACTGATTGGGTCGGACGGGTGTACTGGCCTGGAAGGGCTGTGAGGCCCCTGACGCTGAGCTTGGCCTGGCTGTGCAAGGCACCTCTGGCCAGCCCTACCCTTCTCTGCACCTCTGTTGTCAGAGCAGATGCTCCCAGGGCCAGCGAGGGTCAGTGAGGGCCCAAGGGAGGGCAGGTGGGAGCTACGGGCCAAGAGGAGGGCTTGTGGTGCCTGGTCAGCTGGTGTGGGGGCCTGGCTGAGGCCTTGTGCCAGGACCAGGCTGGCCTACTGTCCTGGGCAGGTCCCTTCCGGTCTTGGCCTCCCCCTCCCAGATGTGGGGGCTGGTTGCAGTGATCCCCCAGGTCTTCCGGTGTGAGCCTCTCAGGGTGACCGCCTGCTCTGCTGAGCTGAGTGAGTCACGGGTGACGGGGCGGTTACTCACCGACCACCTGGCTGTGGGGGGCGGGGGGCACTCACCACTGCCCTGCCAAGACTGGGCCTCTTCCCGGCTCTGCTGCTGTGGCTTTATTGGTGGTGCCAACCGCAGTCCCAGAAGTCCTGTGGGTGTGACCTTGGGGGGGTGTTGCAGAATCAGGCCCACCCCATGGCATCACGGCCCGTGTGGGGGCAGAATGGGGCCACCTGGCTTGGGTATGGACAGGTCCCCTGTGGGAGGAACAGCTCCCACTGGAGGGCTACGTCTGTCCAGGTGAGGGAGGAGCTCTGCTGTGTGGCCTTGGATGGGTCTCTGGCCTCTCTGGGCCTCAGTCTCCTCATCGGTCACTGGGAGATGGTGATCCTTCTCTGCAGGCTCACGTTGGACCCACAGGCTGTCGGGATTTGAAAGCATGTATGGTTCTGTGGAGTGGTGGGTATACAGGGAGGTTAAAACTGGGGAACCCCCAAGGGACCCCTAGCTCAAGATGCACAAAGGAGCTGCTCTTCCTGCCCGCTTGCATCCTGTAACCTCGGCTGTGCCCTCTGCTCCGTGGAGGCCAGGGGACCTCAGCCCTCCTGGAGTGGCTGTGAGGGTCCAGGAAGTGAGTTCAGAGATGTGTTCAGCTAGGTGCCTGGTGCACAGTAAGTGCTCAGGAGGTGGGGGCGTTCTCGGCCACCAGGAGCAGGGAGGCTGGCCACTGGCGACACAGAGGGAGGCCTGTGTGCTGTGCTCACTCGGGAGAATGATGAACCCTCTAGGGCGTCTCAGAGGGCTTTCTAGTGGAAGTTGATGCCTAGACAGAATTTTGAAGGTTGGGTAAAAGTTGTCCAGACTAAACAGGAGCTCAAGTAAGACTCCTAGAAGGAGCGACTCTTACTGGCAAGCACATCAGCCCAGGGTCAGAGAGCCTCAGCATCTTGCCGAGGGGGGCAGATGGGATGCTGGGGTCCAGCAGAGAGGGCCTCCTCTGAAGCCACTGGGAACCCAGGTAACGGCCCTCCTGGCTCTGGAAGCCATCCTGGGGTCCCTGGGGTGTCAGGGTGCACAGGCAGCTGGAGGAGGCACCCTGGGGGAGGTGGTCCCCACGAAGGGAGGTGATGTCTGAGGCCCTGCCTGACTGCACATTGTGTCTGCACCCGGCTCCTCTGGGGACACTGTGGACACAAGCCTGGCAAGTGCCTCCCTGCCTCTGTCCTCTCCACCCCCACTGTGTCCCAGGGAGACTCACACCAGCCTGGGAGGGCAGCGGGCCAGGGCTGCCCAGCCTGTGGGGAGCCCAGGACCCCTCCGCGGGCTCTGGACCATGCTCTGTCATGCAACTGCCCCTGGCAGCTCATTAGGGAGGTGGCAGGGGAGGGGATGGGATGGGGGAGAGGTACTGGTCATGGAGACCCAGATCCTTTGTCAGCTCAGGACTGGGGGGTACCCGGAATAGGGCCCCTCCTTGTGCCTCTGGCAAGTCACCTAACCACTCAGAGCCTTTCTCCCCAGGGGCAAGTGGAGGCATTTCAGCTGGCTCCCCTGGGTCCAGCTCCCAAAGGGCCCAGGCTCCTTCACTCCCCCAGCAAGGGGACAGGAGGCCGGCGCCCTCCCTTGTCAGATGAAACCCCGGCCCAGGGCTCCCTCAGTCTGATGAAAGGGTCATTGTGTGGTGAGGGCCGCCCGCTGGCCAAGGACAAAACCACCGTTTGTCCTCCTTCCAGGGCGCACAGGGCTGGGGCCTCCCCTCGGACTGGCTGGTGGAGTGGGGGTGGGCACAGGTGCGCTCCCCCTTCCCTTTCCCCACCTTCCCCCCTGTTCTCCGTCACAGAGCTGCTCTGCCTGCTGGGCCCTCTCTGGAGCCTGCCCCAACCCGGGGCGTCCTCACCCTCCCAGCCAGGTGCCCCCAGCCCGGGCCAGTTCTGCTGTTGGCAGGGAAGCAGTGAGTTCTCCGGCCCTGGAGGCATACATGCAGATGCAGGAGTGAGGGCCAGAGATGCTGGGGAAGGGCCCTGCATAGAAGGAAGCCAGCACCCACGGGTCCTCTGTGCCAGCGCCCGTGAGTGGTGGTTGGCTCACTCTAAAGATAAGGGTGCTGAGGCTCAAGAAGGTCACCGCACAGTGTCCATGGCAGAGCACAGCGTGCAGCTTGAACCCTGCTCACTGACGGGTCTCCCAGCCTCACATGGGAGCAGGTGGTGTCTGAGCACAGGGGATGCCATGAGGGCTGGGCCAGAAGCTGTGAGTGGGCCACATGACCATTGTGCAGCCCCAAGCAGCCATTGCCACCGCAGACCCTGAAGCCCGCTAGGTTTCAGAGTGGGACCGGGGCTGGGTGGGGGGACACACCACCCTGCCCGGCAACGGCTCCTAGGCATCAGCCATGGTCTGGAAGAGCCTGGGGCAGTGTCCCCCAGCAGTCGCATCCTGATGACACCTGCAGGTCTCCGTGGCATTTCAGAGCCCCTCGCCCACATGATGGCCATCTTTGCCCTTCATGTGACCCAGGTGTTCCTTGTGCCGGAGAGTCCTGCCAGAGTGCCCAGCTGGAGCTGTGAGTGGGCCAGGTCCCCCAGGGGAGGAGTCCAGGACAAGGGCAGGTGGTGGCTTGGCCCAGCCCCACACAGCAGGCATCAGCACTGCCAGGGTCCTGGGGTGAGCCCCAGGGTGAGCCCTGGGGTGAGCCCCACCATACCGAGGGGTAAGACAGATTAGGAACTCTTTTGAGGGGAGTTCCTCCAGAATGTATTACCTGCCCCCGAGCCCCTGACGGGGGAAGGGGACTTTGCCTTCCACTTTCAGAGGACGCAGGCCCCCTAGGAAAAGCCTTCCCTGGGGGACTGACATGTGCATGCCAGCTGGGGTCTGCTGTGAACGTGTCCTCCCTGGTTGCTAGAAGAGGGGAGCTGAGCAAGGGCCACCCAGTTGGGAGGTGGTGGCGTGAGGAATGTGAGGGTCCGAGCGCAGAGCGCCTTTCTGGGCCAAGGGGGCTGCATCCAGATCTGAACGGTGTCTCTCTGGCTCTTAGGCCCATGCTGCTTCTCAGGGAGTCCTGCTGATACAGGTTTCCGGCTTCCAGCAAACTCCAGCGCCCTCTGATTCACTGCTTGTAACCCCACACAGGTCGAGAAGCCAACCAATCCAGCTGGTTGGAATTGCCTGCTGAGCAGGGGTCACGATGCTCTGAGCCAGGGTGCTCTCGGGGCCCAGGAGCCCAAGCCGGCGGGGAGCTTCCTCAGTGGGTGCTGTGGAGCCAAGAGGAGCTCAGATTCCCCCTCCCGGGCTCCTCCTTGTTGTGGCCCTGATCCCTGAGCAGATAGGGAAGTTAGCCCCAGCTGGCTAGCTTGAGACCCCTTTGGGTCGACATATAGATGGTGCCATGTGCCGTGGACGCGAGGCAACCGTGGGGACAGCCCTCCCTCCCCCTTTCTGGAACTTGGTTTCTCCCCCTGGGTGGGTGAGAGGCCTAGATGCTCTCCAGGCCCTTGTCTCCCCACCTCCCCTTCCTGCCTGCCCTCTCCACCCCGGCACATGCACATGCTCACTGCAGCCCCTCTGCCAGTGGGACAGGACTGGCTGTGTGTGTGGGTGTAACCGGGAAGCCACGTCCCTCCTTCCCCATCATTGACACAAGGCCCTGTGGGACCTGCAGAAGGAGCCCCTAACCTACCGGCAATAAGGGTGGACCAGGAAGACCTTGCCCACTGACCTGGGTCCCAAAGAATGTGCTGGGCTGAAGGAGAATGGCATTCTCAAGTGGGGGAGAGCTGGGGGAGGAGTGGGTTGCAGCTGGTTAGAGCAAGGTGGGGCAGTGGGAGGTGAGGGCGCAGGGTGGCAGGGGCTGCTGGCCTGGGCCTGGAGAGCCATGGGAAGGCAGGTCGTAAACTGGGCAGGGGTCAGCAGCTTCCTCCTGAGCTAGGGAAAAACCTCAGGTCTGGGAGGGACTAGCGGCGAGACAGGAGAAGACTGGTCCTGCCCTGGCCTCCGATGGAGGGGGCTGAGGGACAATTTCCCAGAGGCAGGATCTGCAGGGCTGACTGGGGGCAGAGCCGGGGAGGCAGCGCTGTCAGCATGTGAGCTCTGAGTCCAGACCTGTGGTTGTGGGCTGACCGCTGCCCCCCAGTGCCCAGCACTGCACTTGGCGCTCAGCCGGGGCCTCATAAACACATGGTGAACGGTCAGATGGTGCTCATTGCATCTGGGGCCCAGTGAGGTCCCCGTGGTGGCGGGGGCCTGCAGGCCCCAGGTGTGCTGGCTTCCAGTGGGCACAGGTGGACACCGTGGGTGGGCTGGGGGGCTGCAGCTGTTCTGACTCAGGCCTTCCCAGGGCAACGTCACCGCTGGCTGGGAACGCTGGGAGTTTCCAGGTGTTGCCGACATGCTCTTCTTCCCAAAGGAGCCAGACCCATCCCCTTGACATCCCCATATTCCTGGAACCCATCCTGTGTGCCACCCACCCCCAACAGGCCCCGCAGTGGGCTGAGGTGCTGGCATGGCCGCACCCATGGGCCAAGCCCCCATCCCTGCCCTGACAAGGGCACTTGCCTTGACAGCACTGCCTTGGTGGTGGAACGCAATGATCAGGTTCCCAGGGTGACCTCTTGAGCCTCGGCCCCATGAAAGGGCTGGGGTGCCAGCCAGCCAGCCTGTTGGGGGTGCTCAAGGAATGTGCATGTAGGGTGGCAGGGCCAGGAGCCTGGGCTCGCTGGCAGGCTAGTGTCCTGGAGCACTGGACAGGGAGGCAGCAGCCTCAGTCCCTGGCCTCTATCTTCAGCAGCTCAGGAGCACACAGGGACTTTGGCCCATCACATAGGTCACAGAGGCTCCAGGGACACCTGCCCTGGAAAGGCCTGATTGGGGCTGCTGTTGGTCAGTGTCTGGGGAGGGTGCTGGGTGAGGGCTGCCAGAAACCTCCCAGCCACCCATCCTCTCTCTCAGGCCCTAGCTGGCTGGCTGTGTGACTGGCCAGGGGGTCACTCCGGGCTGTGGTTCCTGGAGGTGGCTACTGGGTGGATCGCCCCTCCCCACCAAGATGTTCCCTTCTTTCCTTCCCTGCAGCTGCAGGAGCAGGTAGGGGCTGGGGCGTGCGGACTCCGTCTAGGGAAGCCCTCTGCCTTGGGTGGCGTCCACCCCAGGAGCGGGTTTGGGAGGCGAGGCTCCGGCTGCGCCCCCGGGGGACCTGCCCTCTCACGCTTGTTTCCCAGCCCCTGCCAGGGAGGTGGGGAGAGCCAGGGTTTGCCTGTCAAGTCTGAGTGTGAGCCCAGAGCAGACCCCTGACCCCTGGCTCTCCCTTGCTGCCTTCCTTCCTTTTGAAATGGAGATTCCTGCAGCGGGGAGGAGGAGGGGAGGTGGGGAGGGCAGTACAGTGGGGGATGCTTGGGAAACAGACCGGGCCTGGGCCTAGCTGGGAGTGGGGAGAAAGGCCTCAGCTCTGCTTTGCTCTTGCCTCTGATGTCAGACCCCTGCCAGGTGGTTGTGTGGCCTTAGGCTAGATGCTGCTCCTCTCCTCCAACTAGGGGCTGCCCATGGAAGGCAGGGGCAGTTCTCAGGACTGCAGGCCACCTCAGTCAAGGCCTGGGGACCCCTGAGTCGGGGGAGGTGTTTTGAAGATGCTGACTGTAGGAAGACCCACCACATGGAGTCATCACAACCAGGCTGATGAGGACTGGAGTGGACTGCTCCTGGGGGTGGGGGTGAGCACCCCCATCTGCAAGGCATCCAAGCTGAGGCGTTGGCGGAGGGAGGCCCTGGTGGTCCAGGAATCCTTGGAGGGAGCAGCCCAGAACAGTGCGCTTCCTAAAAGCATGGTGAGGGAGCTTTGCCCAGGGGTCTGGCCCAGAGAGGGTCCCCAGCTTGGTGAGAACAGAGGTCAGGGCCGCAGAACTGGGGGGAGCTCAGGGGCTTTGCCTCATGCCTGCTCTGCACTGAGGAGCTTATGTGGTCCAGGCAGGCTCCCACCTTTAGCTGGTCCTGGAAGGGAGACCCTCTGGGATGCTGGCCTGCAGGCATGGTCCTGGGGCCCAGAGCTCTGTGCTGCCCCACCGTCTGTACAGAGGTGGCTGCTCACTGTCCATTGCCTGCAGGGGCTCAACCCCCCAAACCCACCCCCAAGACCGTGTCCAGGGGAGCTGAGGCCAGGGCACTGGCTGGCTTAGGAGGCCCCCAGACTCCCAGCCTGGCCGGGGCCTAGCAGGCCCTGCCAGCTTCCTCCCACCTGTTCTGCCTGCCTGTCCACCCACCCATCTGCCCTGAGGTTTCAGGTTGGCATCCTGGTCACCCAGGCCTGCAAGGCGCCCCCATGTCCGACAGATCTGGGGCATCAGACAGATCTGGGGCACTGGGACCAAGACCAAGGCTGGGGCTGGGGCTCTCATCCCTGCTGGGGTCTCAGTTCGCTGTGTGGCCTCAGGTGTCATAGTGCCTCTGGGCATTGGTGTTCCCATCTCCTCTCTTGGCAAAAAGAAAGGCCTGGGGTAAGGCCTAGGGAAGGTCCAGAGCACAGCAGATGGTGTGGCCATAGCCTAGTCAGGCAGGTATTGGGGGATCTGAGCTTCCAAGAGCCTCCTTAGGAGCCTGGCACAGATATGACCTTGCTGGGAAGGGGAGGACAGAGGAGAGACCTGGGCAGGCTTCCTGGAGGGGAAAGTACCAAGTTGAGCCCGGAATCTGGTCTGGCTACCAGAGGGGGCAGGATGCTCCCGGAGGGGCAATTGCTGGTCCAGTGGGGCCCAAACCCAGGAGTGTCATGATAAGGCCCCAAGTTCCTTAGCAGAGGTCTGGCAGTTTCTGAGGTCAGAGGTCAACATCCTAGGGTTTTGGGGTCACAGTGACTGGGTTAAGTCTGATTTCACAGATTTGGCAGATGTGGGGGCTGGAGGACCCTCCAGCTCCCTGTGCCCCCTCAGCCATAAGCTCCCTGTGCCAGCAGGGGGTGTGGAGGGCCACCTGGTAGTACTTGCCCATCTCCAGAAGCCTCAACCCTGCCCAAGACTCCCTGCCCGTTGCCTGCTTTCTTTCAGGCTGCCTGCTTTCTCCCCAGGGTGGGGTCTCAAGATGCCAGGCCAGGAATGCCAGCTATGTGGGGAGGGCGGTGGCTGGCCGCCGGGGGCACGAGGGAGCAGGCGGACGCTCTGTTCTCTTCCCTGGGAACACTGTGGGCAGCTAGCTAGCTGAGTGGGGCAGTGGGCTGGGAAGGTTGCAGCAGACAGGGCCTGCTCTGGAGGGGCCGGCCCACAGGAGACCCTGTCTGCCAGCACGGGCTGTTCTTCCCACTGGACAGATGGATAAACTAAGGCTCAGAGAGGACAGGGAGGGTCAGCAGCAGAGCAGAGCTTAAGCACAGGATCCCGAACCCAGAGAACCTCTCTAGGATGCAGCCACAGATACTAGATTGTCGTCTCTGCCTCTCGCTACGCAAACTGGAAACTGAGGCCTGGGCGGGGGCAGGGCAGGGCAGGGAGGGGCAGAGGGACGGCCTTGCTTCCCGGCTGGCCCCGTTTCCCAGCTGGCCCTGTCCTGCCTCCAGCCTCTTTGTGCACCCTCTTGCTCACCACC